AAAAAAAAAAAAAAAAAAGGTCAGTACATTAACAGGCCCTACACACTAAGATGCATGGTAAATATACAAATTTCCTTGTTTTTTTTCTTACCTGTAAACAAGGGTGTCATCGTAAGTACCATTGTACTGGATTTGAAACATACGTATCCCAGGGATATTTCTTTGAAAATTAAATTTAAGTAGTGCCGTTGATGATGTTGCTTCTGCCACAACAATTTTATCTTGACTCATTTTAGTATCTCCGTTACTACTGCTTGCATTCGAACCTGACTTAGTAGAAGTTGAGATGTCTGAAGAACCAGGATCAGGCTCATGGATGTGGTTTGTACTGTTTAGTAAGTGAGGGAGCTTAATTATATGAAGTTCAACTGTTTGTGTTGCTTCCCCCGCAGGATTGGAAGCAATGCAGGTAAAAGCACCTGTATCTTTCACAGTCGTTATAAGGATGTCAAGGGTTCCATTATCATACACCAGAGATCTTGTTGCATTTGAAATAAGTTTTCCTTCAGGAGAGATCCAGTGAATGGCAGGTTCAGGGTCTCCCCGGGCTTTGCACCGCAGCGTTGCTCTCTGACCCTCCAGGACTCTCATCTCATGTGTATGACGAGTAATGAGAGGAGGTTCACACAGAAACTCCTCCTCAGGAATGGACCAGAAGTAGCGGCCAGTTAAAAGTGCAGGAGAAGCACAGGTTTCTAGGTCATCTTCTCTGCTCAGACGCCTTAACCACAACAATTCGCAGTTGCAATGCAAGGGGTTTCCACCAAAACTTAATGCGAAAGTCGATGGACTTATGATTCCTGAGGTTGCTAGTACCTGAGCTCGCTGAAAGAGAGGGTCAGGTGGTAGCTTCTGCAATTTATTTGATGTTACATCTAGCCGAGTCATCTTATGTAAGTGGGAGAAAGTCCCCTTAGGAATGTTATCAATCATGTTGTGATCCAAACTAAGGGTATGCAAGCTAACCATCTTCTCAACAGCATCCCAAGGAATGGTTTCTAGATTATTATAGGACAGATCGAGCTCCTCAAGGGCAAATACATCGTCAAATGCTGTAGAGGAAATTAAAGTCAGCTGATTGTTGTTCAGTATCAAATGATGGAGGTTGGAAAGCCCACTGAACATGTCGTTTGTTATCTTAGTCAATCTGTTGCTATTCAAATGTAAAGCCCTCAAATTTCGTAGGTCAGCAAAAGCATGAGGTGTAATAAAACTTATTGTATTCCTGGATAGAGTCAGGTCCACCAAGCTGGTCATATTGGCAAAATCTTTCCTTTTAATATTTGTAACAAAATTGTCTGCCAACCGCAGTTCCACAGTTCTTCTGTCAATGTTTGGTGGAACAAATAAAAGCCCTTTCTTGGCACAAAGGGTTGCAAGATTAGGAGACAAAATCTGACAGACACAACGCTTTGGACAGATCTGAGCTCTCACTGCTATGCCAATGAAAAACAGATATAAAAGAATTTTTTCCATTGTAGATCAGATTTAAGAGCCTGTAAAGAAAAACAAAATATAGTGTTAGTATCCAATCATTTACTAATCTTCAAATTTCAACTAGAATATTTTAATGCAAATTGGAATACAGAAATATTTCATTTGTGGACCAGCAGTTAGTGTAATGGCTATGTCACTGGACTCCCACATAGTCGACCGCGGTTCGAGTCCCGGACTTGGTGGCTTAAACTTACGCCGGGCGTGTGTGCATGCATGCCCAGGATCCCAAGAGGAGAATGGAGGAGAGGGGATTGCGGTGTGGTCATTCCCCCTGGGGGGTGATTTCTCGCTTTCTGTCTCTATGTCTCTCTCTGTCTGGCGAGCACATGCACCCTATAGCAAAAACCTCTCCAAAAAAAAAAAGAAATATTTAATTTGTTTACTGAAAATAGATGTTGTGTATCCATCCTGTCAATGGGCCGTAATGAGCACCATGGATAAATAATACACCATTTATAAATCGCAGGATTTTAAATCAAAGGTTAAAAAATAAACAAAGAAAAAATCACCATAATTTTCAATATTAAATACAATTTTTAAAATCTGTCTAAGGTACTCCATGGGGGCTAAAAAAGGAGACATATAAACCAGATTGCTGGGAGTTAAGGAAAACTTGCCCTAATTTCTTAAGGACCTATTGTTAAATAAGTAAGTTCAAAAGATTGCAGGCATAGGGAAACAGCAGTTAGCGTAATGGCTACGTCGCTAGATTCCCACATAGTTGGCCGCAGTTCACGTCGCGGGCCCGGTGGCTGAAAACTCACGCTGGGCGTGTGTGCGTGCATGCCCAAGATCCCAGGAGGAGAATGGAGGAAAAGGGATTGTGGCGTGACCATCCCCCATGGGGGGGTGATTTCTTGCTTTCTGTCTCTCTGTCTGGCGAGCGCACACGCCCTATAGCAAAAACCTCTCCAAAAGAAAAAAAGAGAAAAAAAGATTGCAGGCATAGTTAAAATTTTGAAGTAGTTCAATTCACTAGCCTAAATAGAAACTCAAAAAGATTTTATTATTGAATTCACTTTGTAGCATGATCTTTGAAGATAACTAATAACCGATTAAATTTTATACATCTTTTCAAAATATCTTGACATAGTTTAAACTTTATATCCTAACTATAAAATACAAGATCTTGTTTTTAAAGATACTAAGGCTGAAAATTTACCATAAATGCCCCACATAACCTAAATACCATAATGTTTTATTAATTATAAAAAGATTTTTGAAGATTATTTATGGAAAGTAGTCATCAAAAGACTCAACACTAAGTTCAAGAAGATATCATATTCTGTTTTTCTTCTCCGTAAATCTTAATACATTTATATTTGTTCAAATTTAATTAAAAAATACTCTGACAATGTCATTTTCCAATTTAATCTTGAATATCTGTCATTAAAAGTAATTATCAAATACAAAAATATTAATGTACATACCATTAAAAGTTCTCATATACTGCATGAAATTTGATTTATTTTATTTTATATTTTAGTTTTGAGAGATTTTTGCCTTAAGGTGTGTGTACTTGCTGGAGAGAGCAAGACATTCAGAGATAGTGAAAGAGAAACTTAGAAATCATTCCCCAGGGTGGATGGTCATGCTGCTATCTGTTCTCCTCCATTCTCTTCCCAAGATCTTGGGCACACACACACACATGCCTGGTATGATTTTCAAGCCACCAGGTCTAGGACTCAAACCACAGTCAGCCATGTGGGAATCTAGTGACATAACTCATACACCATTGCTGACTCCCTGAGTAAAATTTTAAACACCATAAAAATCTGTAGAAAATCATCCAACTTTCTCATTGGATATGAATATGAAATTATACTAGAAAAATTGTGCCTTGTTTTCTACATAAGCCATATCTTATAACTTTGAATTTTATGCCTATTTTATGCCATATCAATTGTGGATGAAATTAATGAGAATTATTTTCAACAAATAAAGACTCACTTGTTAATGACTGAATAGTTTTTAATAGTACTAAACTAGCCTTTCTGCAATAAGTTGCAAAAAAAAATGTGCAAAAAACAATAGTTTTTGGATACTGGAAATGATAAAGCATAAAACCATAATCCTTCAGATAGTGCATTAAAAAATGAACCCTAGGAGGTCAGTAGTGGCAAAGTGGTTAGGGCACTGGACTTAGATAAGATCAATGATGGTTCAAGTCTTGGAATGGCAGCTTGAAACTCTTGCTAGAGTTTCACATGTGCATGCGTGCCCAAAATCCTGAAAGAGGAATAGAAGAGAAGGGATTGCAGTGTGTTCATCCCTCCCAATCAGGGGTGATTTCTCACATTTGTCTCTTTAGCTAGTGCACACACTCTATAGCAAAAATCTCTCTTAAAAAAAAATGCAAAGAAAAGAAAAAAGAATACACACACACACACACACACACACACACATACACACACACATACACACTATAATTACTTCTGAAGACTCTTTTCAACCTCAGTAGCCCATAATGGGCACTACTGCTTGGCAGGTTAAGGCCACATGGGAGGTTCAGATGTGATTCCTGGCTCACTCTAAAAGTAGTCAGAGCACAGCGCCTGTGGCACACAGGTACATCACAGGTAGGAAGCTGAAGCTATCTGGTATAAACGGAATTGGTCCCAGCCCAACAGAACAACCAGGCATGGTTGCTCATGTTTGTCATCTCAGCTCAATGGATGTATGCAGGAGGAATGCAACACAAGACCCTGTCACAGATACCTATCTATGTCTCGCTCCCTTTCATTCTCTCTCTATCTCATTAATAAAACAATAAAATAATAAAATAAAAACTGAGCGCAATATGCCCATAATCCCAGGTTCTCAGCAGGCTGGCACAAAAGGACTATGGGCTTGCAACCACCATGGGTAACAGGTGAGACCTTGTCTGAAAGAGCCAGGTGTAGTGGCTCATGCTTGTTGCCCAGCTACTTACTTCTGAAATGGAGGCAGGAGGATCATGACATTAGGAGAGCCTGTCTAAAACACCACAGGCACACACAAATACAGGCACGCATAAATACACACAATACTTAAAATACCTATTTATTAATCCAAGCGCAACACAAAGAAACCATTCCATGAACATATCACAACAAAGTGTAGATAGTGGAAAAGAAAAACAAATCCTAAAAGCAGTCACAGAAAGAAGACAGATAGGGATCAGCGGCTGTTGTGGTGGCTAAGGCACTGGACTCCCATGTGGCTGACCATAGTTTGAGTCTCATAATCAACAGCTTTAAATCACCCCAGGCACGTGTATGATGTGCCAAAAATCCTGAGAGGAGAATGGAAGAGAAGGGGTTGTGGTGTGACCATCCTTCTGAAGGGTGATTTCTTACTTCCCTTCTATGTGTCCAGTGAGCACATGCACTCTATGGCAAAAACCTTAAAAAACAAAAAGAATAAGAAGAAGAAAAAAAGAGAAACTAAATAAAAGAGATTATAATAAGTTGAAGTGAACAAAAGAAAACTCATTGCTGACTCCTCACTGACTTCTCCATGTAAATGAAGCAAAATGGAAGACAATGAAAAACATGTTTAAAGTGCTATGAGAAGAAAAGAAAACCTATAAATCTAGTCAAGGTTATATTTTCATGACACATGGAAATAAAACAGACAGCTAAAACCAAAACTGAAATTTCATCACCAGCAGATCTATGCTATTAAATAAATAGAATGGATAATGCCTTCATGCTGAAGAAAAATCATACAGGATAGGAAAAACATAAATAGAGAGAGAGAGAAAATTATTAAAGTCTTGTCAAATCAGGATCCTCCTGCCTCAGTCTGCTAGTTAAGGCAGGCACAACTATGCCCAGATGGTCTACATGGGGCTGGGAACAGAACCAGGGTCTCCCACATGGCCCCAGTCACTGCATACTGGTGTCCTCCCTGTTACACTATGGTGACTGGACCTGGAATGTAAATCTTTACACGTGGATGAAGAGCAACAGAAATGATATGTTTGTAAATATGTATAAAATATTTCTGCTGTTTTGGTGTTTATAAGTAGTACCTTTGGAATAGATACAGAAAGACACAAGAAAACATGAATGTTTTGCCTAACCAAAAAAAAAAAATAAGTTGGATAAGCTACAAAATCATATTTTTAAAAATATTATCATCTTTATGCTGTGAATATAAAGAAACTTAAACTAAATTCCGGAGACGACAGCCCTTGGTAAAAGGATGAGATCCATAGCTTTCTCTTTCCTTTCCATACTAATAGAACATAAAATAGAATGGCCTGTCAGGTCTAAACGGGGATAAAGAAAACCTTCCCATGTATTAGCACATGTTAAGTATTATGGATGATAGTCTAGTTAAATCAAATAGAATCCACAAGATCCTGGGGGGAAAAATTATACACACACACACACACACACATATATATATATACACATATAGTGAGCTATAGGGTGTCTGTGCTCATAGGAGAGAGAGAGAGAAAGAGAAAAAGAGAAAGTGAGAAAGCACCCCAGGGAGGATAGCCACATTACAGTCCTTACCCCTTAATACTCTTCTTGGAATTTTCGGTTTGCATGCACATATTCCCATCATTTTTCTCAAACTGCCTGACCAACTGGTTCCAGGATTCAAATCCAGGTGGGACCCAAGTGCTTTAGCCACCTCATCATGGGTTGGCCAAGAAGAAAGCTTTGACAAGTATAGAATACTCATTCTTTCCCGAAGACCATAGAACTTAGGTAGTTCACACACTGGGCCTTAATTCTTAAACTATATAAAATAATTTAAATGACAAAGATCATATTATTGACTCCATATTTTAATATAAGCCAGTAAAAAAGTAAGAAATTCTAAAATATTTGAAAAATTTAAATTAAAATGAATTATAATTTTAAAATCACAAGGTAAAATAATATTTTGGATCAATTAAGATAAAAATGAAGTGTAACACAATCATGGGATTAAGAAAGTAATGCATTTAATCATTATGGTAAGTCAGACGAGGTAGAGCAAAAAGAAAATATAGTACAAA